CATAATGGCTATGTCGCTGGACTCCCACGTAGTCAACCGCGGTTCGTGTCCCGGACCCGGTGGCTTAAAACTCAATGCAGGGCGCGTGTGCGTGCGTGCCCAAGATCCCGAGAGGAGAATGGAGGAGAAGTGATTGTGGCGTGAACATCCCCTCTGGGGGGTGATTTCTCGCTTTCTGTCTCTATGTCTCTCTCTGTCTGTCTGGCGAGCGCACACTCCCTATAGCGAAAACCTCTCCAAAATAAATAAATAAATAAATAAATAGAACTGTTAGTGTACATGAGAAAAAAAGTTATCTTAACCCGACTTCTATTAGCATATTATAGACTTATTACTATCTATAAGATACCACTACACACCACAGTATTTTAAATATAAAAGTCTGACAGTGGGGAAATATAGGGAACTCAATTGTATATTTTTGGTAGTAGATAAATTGGTGCAACCCCTTTGAAAAGAAAGTTTGGAAAATGCTGGATTCATTATGCAATTACTTATTCATTCTGTTAGCTAACATTTATTTATGATACACACAAACATGGTGTTGGGTGCTGGGGGTGAAGATGAAATATATGAGAATGCTCATGTACAAGATAATAAATGCCATGTAATATAGTGATCACTGTGATAGTAAGTCTGTCATAGAACCACATGGAGTTGTGGAGGCAGCTACTTTAATCTGGGTGTGAGGAAGATCACTTAAAACTTCCCAGGGAGATGATATCAGCATTGACTTTTTTTTTTTTTTGAGAGGTTTTTGCTATAGGGCACGTGCGGTCACCAGACACACACAGAGAGACAGAGAGACAGAAAGCAAGATATCCCCACCACCACCACCACCACCCCAGGGGGGATGGCCACACCGCAATCCCTTCTCCATTCTCCTCTCCAGATCTTGGGCACGCACACACACTTGCCCAGCGTGAGTTTTAAGCCACCGGGTCTGGGACGTGAACTGCGGTCAACTATGTGGGAGTCCAGCGACATAGCCATTATGCTAACTGTTGGTCCCAGCACTGACTTTTGAAAGACAAATCCTCACAAGCCATTTGAAAAAAAAGGTTGTTTTAAGTAGTAGAAACAGTTTGTTGAAATGCAGAGAGGCCTTAGAGAGTACTGTGGTGAGAATTCTACTGTTGTTTGAGCAGTGTTGGAGCACTGACTATGGAATTTGAAAGGGCCTGGGGATAACATGGAGGTAGGGAGAAGGAAGACAGAAAGTTGAATAGAGGCCAGATCAAGAAGGATGTTATATTCCATATTAAGAAGTTTGGATTTTTTCCCCTAAAGGTTACAAGGAGTTGTCTTGAGGATTTTGTGTGTGTGCGTGTGGTGGGGTTTTGCCTTTTTATTTTTTTTCTGGTGTGCATGGTCTCACCAGAGAGAGGGAGAGGGAGAAATAACCCCTATACACACCAGCACCACCATGGGAATAGTCTTGGGCATGCATGCACGTGTACCTGGTGTACTTTTCAAGCTGCTGGGCCCAAGACTCAAACACTGTGGTCAGTCATGTGGGATCCATTTCCCTTAACTGCTTGGCCATAGGGCTGGTTCTGTTTAAGGATTTTAATTAAGGGCTGTGAAATGATCAATTTTAGAAAGATAACTTTGATAAGAGTGTGAAAACTAAAATGTGATGGATGGGAGGCTTTTAGGAGCCCAATAACCAACCTAGTTCAGTTAAATAAAAAATCTAAACCATACCAAAGATTGAGGGAAAGAAAAGAGAGCATGGATTGGAGAGGTTTTCAGAAGTGGTATCAATAGCACCTAGAGAAGAAGGAAAAGGCTAGGAAACGTTCCCAAGTTTTGACCTTGGTATCTGGTTTGGAGGTGCTGAAATTACCTATTTATTCATTTAAAAAAATCATTAGTACACATCAAAAGGGTGCTGACTCTTCCTCAGGAAAAAAGGCTTACTCAAGGTGAGTCCCGATACATATTTTGTTCTTTAGTTTCCACATGCTGTATTGATGGGCATCATTTCAACACTAGGAGCTAAACTGAATTCATTTTAGGAAAATTATTTATAATGTTTTACTTTAGAAAAACATCTAAAATCTTAAGATTGCGCAGTTCTTTTCTATCTACTTTGTGCGTTGTCCTTCCCAACTCCAACACACACACCTCCTTTAAGGAGTGCACACAATAGTCAGTATTTCAAGACTAGAGTTGCAGATTTGGTTAGTATTTGAACAACTTATTAAATTTTGTAATTAAAATTGGCTTAGTTTGGACTGGTGAGAGGTCATCTCAAGAATGTTTCCACAAGGTGGCTCCAGACAATTCAAATGTTTATTAGCAGCTTACCAAATGGCGAAAGGTCATGATAAGTGGCAAATTTCTTCCAAGATCTAAGAGATTTAGAGTCACATGAAAGGGATAAAATTAAGTTGGACATACCTGGCATTTTTACAAGAATAATCCAGAACAACAACAAAAAATAGAGAAAACAAAAAATACCATGATAGCTCCTGTTGGCCGAAGATGGACAATCTGAGTATGAAAAGAATACTGTCTGCAATGGATAAAAAAATACCTAATAAACAAAGAGGACGAGTTTCAAATATTACAAGAAGCCACTAACTCTTTGATCGTCTTGGAGATTGCTAGGTCACCAACTCTGAAAATTGATGAAAAGAAATAAGAATTTCCCTGCCTTTTCTGAATCAACTATATTTCATAATAATCAAATAGTGAGAAAATGTTTTTATAGATTTCCTGCTAATAAATGCTTAAAGAATGCTATTAAAATCAACACTTCTTGGCCTTTTGGCTAAGATCTAGTATATAATGCTAACATCAAATATATGATGGTAAAATCAGGGCCACATGGTGGCAATTAGTAAGGCAATTGCATCTACATGGGAAAGGTTCTGTATTGACATTCTGGGACCTCCTTGAGCATGCCAGGTACATGTGTGACTGTGATCCAGGCTGGCGGGGACTGGACATGGATTGTGGCATGAAGCCCAGGTTGGAGATACCTATCTCTCTCACTGTCTCTCATAGAAGGTAATAAGTGACATTTTTAGAAAAATGCTGTATTGTAACTCCAAGTGAAATAATGAGTCCAGGTAATAGTAAACAGTGGACGTTAAAACCATTCGATGAAACATTGATCAGGAAATTAAAAATAGAGGGATTAGGCAGAAACCACCTGAAATTACTGATTAATCTTCATATTATTAAAAGCAGGATTAAACTAGTGATGTCATTTATATATTATCTTTTAGCTCTATATTCATACATTCAATAATTGTTCTCTGATGCTGAGGACAAAATTTCTTTCTTTTTTTTTTTCCTCAACAGATTTTTGCTATAGGGTACATGTGTTTGCCAGAGAGATGGAAAGAGATGGAGAGACAGAAAGACAG